CTGCTCACAGCCCCCCTACACTATACACCGCATGTTCTACCAGGCCCTGGACAAATATGGAGACCTCAGCGCTCTGGGCTTCAAACGTCAGGGCAAATGAGAACGCATCTCCTACTACCAGTACTACCTGATCACCCGCAAGGCTGCCAAGGGCTTCCTGAAGCTTGGCCTGGAACGAGCCCACAGTGTGGCCATCCTGGGCTTCAACTCCCCTGAGTGGTTCTTCTCAGCAGTGGGGCACTGTGTTTGCAGGTGGGATTGTCACCAGCATCTACACCACCAGCTCCCCTGAGGCCTGCTAGTACATTGCCCACGACAGCCGTGCCAACATCATTGTGGTCAACACACAGAAACAGCTGGAAAAGATCTTGAAGATCTGGAAAAACTTGCCATACCTGAAGGCAGTGGTGATATACCAGGAACCTCCTCCCACAAAGATGGCCAACGTGTACACGATGGAGGAATTCATGGAGCTGGGACACCAAGTCCCCGAAGAGTCCCTGGACAGCATCATTGAGGCCCAGACACCCAACCAGTGCTGCGCCCTGGTCTACACGTCAGGCACCACCGGGAACCCCAAGGGTGTGATGTTGAGCCAAGACAATATCACATGGACAGCGCGGTATGGCAGCCAGGCAGGAAACATCCAGCCGGCTGAGGTCCAATAGGAGGTAGTGGTCAGCTACCTGCCCCTCAGCCACATTGCTGCACAGATCTATGACCTGTGGACCGGCATCCAGTGGGGTGCCCAGGTGTGCTTTGCAGAGCCCGATGCCCTGAAGGGGAGCCTGGTGAACACATTGCGTGAGGTGGAGCCAATATCCCACATGGGTGTGCCACGTGTGTGGGAGAAGATCATGGAGCGCATCCAGGAGGTGGCCGCACAAGCTGGCTTCATCCGGCGCAAGATGCTGCTGTGGGCCATGTCAGTGACCTTGGAGCAGAACCTCACCTGCCCCAGCAGTGATCTGAAGCCCTTCACAGCCAGGCTGGCAGATTACCTGGTGTTGGCCAAGGTCCGCCAGGCACTGGGCTTTGCCAAGTGCCAGAAGAAGTTCTATGGGGCAGCCCCCATGACGGCTGAGACACAGCGCTTCTTCCTGGGCCTCAATATCCGTTTATATGCAGGCTATGGCCTCAGCGAGACCACAGGCCCCCACTTCATGTCCAACCCCTACAACTACCGGCTGTACAGCTCAGGCAAGGTGGTACCTGGCTGCTTGGTGAAGCTGGTCAACCAAGATGCAGAGGGTATTGGTGAGATCTGCCTACGGGGCCGCACGATCTTCATGGGCTACCTGAACATGGAGGACAAGACATGGGAGGCCATTGACTCTGAGGGCTGGTTACACACAGGTGACACAGGCCACTTGGACCAGGATGGCTTCCTCTACATCACAGGGCGCCTCAAAGAGCTGATCATCATGGCTGGTGGGGAAAATGTGCCTCCCATGCCCATTGAGGAGGCTGTGAAGACGGAGCTGCCCATCATCAGCAATGCCATGCTTATTGGTGACCAGAGAAAGTTCTTGTCCATGCTGCTCACCTTGAAGTGCACGCTGGACCCAGATACCTCTAACCCAATGGACAACCTGACAGAGCAAGCTGTGGAGTTCTGCCAGAGGGTGGGCAGCAGAGCCAGCACCGTGTCTGAGATTGTGAGCCAGCGGGATGAAGTTGTGTACCAGGCCATCGAAGAGAGCATCCGGAGGGTCAATGCAAATGCAGCTGCCCAGCCCTATCACATCCAGAAGTGGGCCATTCTTGAGAGAGACTTCTCCATCTCAGGAGGAGAGCTGGGTCCTACCATGAAACTCAAGCGGCTCACAGTCCTGGAGAAGTACAAAGACATCATTGATTCCTTTTACCAAGAGCAAAAGAACTAACTGGGGCCATCTATGGGGTTCCCAATGAGAAGGCAGCCTCTGCTTGTGGGGGCATCTCTGAGCTCCAGGCTCTTCCATGTGGCCTCAGGAACTCAGGCAAGAGTGTCTGGCTTCCTGGCCAGGGTTGATTGACTCCAACATCTACAACTCCAAGAAGCTCCACATGCGGGTAGTCTAAATTCTGCTTAAGTATTCAGGTGATAAAATCAACTCGCCTTTCACAACTAAAGGGTTGATACTGCTCAGCCCTAACTCCAGGGAAACCTAACGAGCCATAGCTCATCAGCTCACCAGAGGCCGGGGTGGGGGTGGGGAGTCCTCTTATTAGTTTGTGCTGCAGGTAAAGCCGTCTAGGTTACATAATGGCCAAACTTACTCTGGAATCTTTTGGACACTACCTAATAAAACTGCTGCTGCCATGTGACTGTATTTAATGTGTAATATGAATATTAAACATTTAATGGAACTGTCAAAAAAAATAAAATAAATAAATAAAAGTAGTCATAAAGGGATTGAAACAAGGTCCTCATGAGTGCTAGACAAGTGCTCCATCACTGAGCTACACCCCCAGCCCTTCTAATGTTTTAAAAATTTTGAAACAAGATGTCTCTCAGACTGGCCTTTACCTTACAATCATCCTGCTTCTGCTTCTTGAGTGGCTGAGAATACACACGTGTACTACCAGGTCTGGCTCGTTTCTTAATGTAGGCATTTATCGAGACACACTTTCCTCTTTGACTACTTCTGCTACATGTAATAAGTTTGGGTATATTGTTTTCATTTTCATTTGGTTCAAGATTTTGAAATGTTTTCCTGATTGATTAGAAGTATGTTAATTTCCACATATTTAAAAATTTTTTCCCATTCTTGATTGCCCAACATTTTACAGCACTGAAATGTTTTACAACATCTCAGTTTTGTACTTGGAAGGTAGCTAATGATTTTGATCTTCTTAAATTCGCTGAGGCTTGTTTTGAGGCTTAACATGTAGCCTGTCTTGGAGAACGTTTCAAGTGCACTTGAAATGGATGTCTGTACTTTCTGTCTTGGGGAGAGTTTTCTTCATGTGTCTGTTAAGTCCCCTTGGTTTACTCTGTTTTTCAAATAGTTTCTTTATTATTTTGTCTAGTGAGCTAACATTTTCAATGTGGGGTATTTGAACTTCTTTACTATTATTGTGTCACTTTCCATTTCTTCAATTTTTCAAATATTCCTCACATATATTTAGGTACATCAGTGTTGGGTGAATATTTACAACTTCTTGATGAATTGACACCTGTACTTATACAATACTTTCTTTGTTTCTTGCAAGTTTTTGATCTAAAATATATTTTGTCTGATATAAGCATAGCCACTCTTGCTTTCTTGGTTACAATTTACATGGAATCTCTTTCAATCCCTTCACTTTCAGTATAGAGTATCTTTTCCCATCCCTTCATTTTCAGCCTATGTGTGATTATACAGTTGATATAAGTGTCTTGTGGGCAGCATGTAATTTAATCTTGACAGTTTCTCTTTTAAAAATCTATTTACTTATTTTCTCTTTGTTAGAGAACTTAATATATTTACATTTAGAGTAGTTATTGATAACAAGGATTTGTTCTTGCCATTTTATTTTCTTATAATTGCTTTGTTCCTCTTTTGTTGACTTTATAATTTGATGGGACTCCTTTTGGTAGCTGTATTTTTTTATTTTTTATTTTTTATTTTTTTCAGAACTGGGGTTTGAACTCAGGCCCTTGTGCTTGCCAGGGAAGCACTTATTTCACTGAGCCATCTCCCCGGCCCTCTGGCGGTGTGTTTTGATCTTTTTCCCTTTATCTTTTGTTTATCCACCACAGGGTTTTTTTCTAGTACTATTCTTTTTTTGGAGGGGGGGCTGTGCTGAGCAGTGGTCCTCTCATCACGGCCTCCTGAGTGGCTGAGAATGCAGGCAAGCGCCACCACTCAGTGGTGGATGCACCACCACAATAGTCTTAGTCTGGATTGTGCATTCTCTTTTTTTCAGTCTTGGGCATTGACTCCAGTGTGCTAAGGAAGCAGTCTAGGATTGATCTACAGCCTAGCCTTTTAATTTGACTATATTATTATTTTATAGTGAGCTTTGTGCTTTCATGTGATCAATTAATGTCCTTTTGTTTCCACTTAAAGAACTTGCTTTTGTATTTTTTGCAAGGCAGATCTAGTGGTAAGGAAATTTCACTGGTTTTGTTTGTCTGGAAGTGTCCTTATTTCTTCATTTCTGAGATATCCCTTGGCCAAAGATGATATTTTTGTCATTCTTTCTTTTTTCCTGCACCATGAAACTACCACCCACTTTCTCCTGGCTAACAAAATTTCTGTTGAGAAATCCATCAATCATTTTCAATGAGTTCTACTTACAAGTCTCTTCTTTTGTTGCTTTTGAAGTGACGTCTTAATCTTTGACTTTTGTGAATCTCATTATAAGGTCTTTTGGGGATGCTTTCTTCATATTTAATTTATTTAGAGTTCTTTGGGCTTCATGGCTCCAAGGATTTATTTTCTTCTACACACTTAAGAAATTGTCTGTCACTGTTTCTTTGTACAAGCTTCCTTTCAATTTCTTTTTCCATTCTTTCTGGAAGTCTCACATGCGAATATTGACTTATCTGATGGCATTCTGTAAGTCCCATAGGTTCTCTTCATTCTTTTTCATTTTCTTTTCCAATGATGGAATAATTTCAATGATCTGTCTTCAATCTCACTAATTTTTTCTGCTGCTTGGTAAAGTCTGCTTAGAGCTATCCATGAAATTTTCAGTTCAAGCCTTATGTTCTTCAGCTACAGATTTTGTTTTTTTTATGGCTTTTTCATTGTTTAACTTTTCATTTTGTTCTGTATATTCAGATACTATTTAGTTATCTGTGTTCTCATATATCTCACTAATCTCCTTGATCATAGTTAGATTTTTTTATAGCCAGTTTATAGATATCTGTATTGGTCAGTTTTCCTATAGATAGGAGAATGTATATAAGATGCATAACTGAACAGAGGACAGGTTTGTTTGGCTCATGGTTCAAAGAATTCTATACACGAGTGGGTGGCTGTAAGATAGAACTAGCATGGAGGAAAGGCCTGGTGAAGGAAATGACTCAACCACGGCAGCCAGGAAGCAGACAGTGAGAGAAGGTGGAAGCTGGGGATAAGAACACAACCTTCCAGTCATGCTCCCTGAGACCCTCCCTCCCTAGGACCACCTCTGAGTGCATGAGATTTTTGGAAAATATTTTAGATCTCCACCATAACATTCCACTTTTGGTTCCCAAAAAGGTTCATGATCTTAGGCAAGGTGCATTTAGTCCATCTGAGAGGCTCCAAAGTCTTTAACAGTTTTAGCACTCTTGAAAATTCAAGTCCAAAGTTTTCTCTAACACTCAAAACAAACTTAGCTGTTAGTGCCTGTGAAAATCAAAAAGAAAGTTAAATATTTCCAACATAAATAGCATAAAATTTGCTTTCCAAAGGGAAGAACTGGAGAATGGAAAGGAACAGGAGTGAAGCAAGACCATAACCCAGCTGGGTAAGTATTAAACTCTGCAGCTCTATGTTCTGCATCCAGGGCAAGTTGTGGTGAGTTGTGTGTTCTAAATGGTGTAGACAGCCTACTCCTATGGATTTTCTGAGTGCAGCCCAAGGGGCCTCTCTCATGGGCTTGTTTTACCACCTGCAGTTTTCCTCAGCAGAAGTTCCACATTCCTAGCATCTCCAGCTTTCTGGGTTCTCCACTGCATTTTTGGTTTTATACCCACAGCTTCAGCCATCTCCCTCTTAGTGGCTCCTAGAAAGGAACTGTGACCTTTTGACACATTTTTGCCAGATTTCCTAGGCTGTCCTCTGAAATCTGTTTAGAAACCACCCTGGCTCCATGACTTCTGCATTCTGCACACCTACAAAAGCAATACCATAGGGAGGATGCCAAAGTCTTCAGCTAGCTTGAGCAGAAAGAAGTTATCACCTTGGTCCATGGCAGCTGTAGCCTCTAACTGCCTGGATGGATGAACTGGAGCAGACACTTGCTTAGGCAGCCCTGAATAAGCAGGGTGCTCTGGGGTTTTCTTCTCAAAAGAAAGTCTTTCAAAGAAGTTTACCCTTTTACAATTTTTTTTTTTTTCAGAGCTGGGGATTGAACTCAGGCCCTTTCACTTGCCAGGGAAGTGCTTATTCCATTGAGCCATCTCCTTGGCCCCCTTTTACACTCTTGATCCTGTGATGGATGAGGTCTGGCCAATTCCTAAGATACCTTCAAACCATCTTTTCTATTTTTCTGATGTAAACTACAAACTTTTCACATTTCTTGACTCTACTATTTAATTATTACTATAAATCTATCTAAAAGCAGTCAGTAGTATCCATGCCATGGTCTGAATGAGCAGTGAGGGGCCTTGAAATTTCTTCTACCAGCCCAATTAGTCTGCCACCTTTAAATTCAGCCTCACAGAAAGACTTAAGGACATGGACAAAATGTAGACAAACCCTTTGCCAGAATACAATGTACATGCCTTTATGTAATTCAACTCCAACAGGATATTCCTTCCCAAATGAATGCTCATGAGCCTGACCTTTACTGTCCAAATTCCCATCAGCACTCTGGTCTTCTGAACTCCAACTAGAATCTTGCTCTGCTTATAGCAATCTAAGCTTTCTCTAGCCATAATCTCCAAACTTCTCCAAACTCCTCTTACATACCAGTCCCAAAGGTGTCTTACTTTCTCATGCCTGAGACACAATTACTATACTCACCATTAAAAGGAGGAAAGAACTTTGGCTCACAGTTTGCAGAGGTTCCAGTCCACACTTAGAGCTACATGGCAGCATGGCAGAGGGACATGGCAGAAGAGCTCATGCAATGGCTGAAGAGAGAGAGGGAGAGAGGGAGGGAGAGGGAGGGGGAGGGAGAGTGAGAGAGACAGACAGACAGACAAAGACAGAGAGAGAGACAGAGAGACAGAGAGAGACAGAGAGATGAAGGGCAGAAGTAG